GGAACCACGCATATGTTTCCCTATGGGTTTGGGGGATGAAATTTAGGTTCTCATGCTTTCCAGGCAAGCGCTTTACTGACTGAGCTGACCTCACACACCTCCACTTGAAAACTTCTGAATTCACCAGCAACTTGCACATGTTAAGCACACGATCATGAAACATGCTCTTGACTTGTATATAGTACGGCTGTCATTGACCTCCCCAAGGAGGCACAGGGTCCCAGCTCTTCTCCTACAGTTTAGTGAATGGGATCTTGGAACTAGGTTCGGCATCAAGTCATGTTAGTCTCAGAAGGATTTTAGTGCAATGATTTGAGTTGAAAGCTGAGCGGAGACAGGACCTATAAATGGCATTCTGTTTTAATGAGTCGGGAGAGAAGTGAAAAATTGTTTCTGGTCCCCACTGATCTCACTGCTAATTTAGTTTAAAGTCTTACAAAGATTAATTTAACGTTGCAAATCAACAGCTGGTTTTCACTGGCCTGCAGCCGGCCAGATGTGCAACGCCTTTAAGGACAGATTTGGAGGCACGGGTGTAGGGTTTGTGCAGCTATAGATGCTGTCTACTGCCAAAATGGTTAGAAAACAAAACACAATTTTTGAGTGTGTCTCAAGTGGTAAATAGCAATGCCAAGGACTTACCACTGGGGAAAACCAAGAACTAGATGCTGTGTGGGGGAAGCTTTAGGAAGAGAACAAAGCCAACAATGAAAGCATCAAGAAAAGCAGGAAGGCACCTGCTCAAAGAAGTTGGTAAGAAAGAGCCTCAAGCAACAGCAATAGAGACAGCCGATAGCATTACACACCGAGGGAACTCGGGCGATGTACACACAGATTATTTATTAGCGAGTTATCTCATTTCTATTTGACTTTTGGCAAACACATTTTGCTAGACATGATACTAAAACTTGACCTAGGAGTTGGGGGATGTGGTAGGTTGCTTGCCGAGCATGCGCAATGCCCTGGGTTCAATCCCCATCACCACATAAACCGGGTGGCACGTGCCTGGGATCTCAGCATTCAGGAGGGAGATTCATTAGGGCTAGCTCTTTAAGGCCGTCTTTGATTGCATAGTGAGTTTACAGGCAGCCTGGGATATAGGAGACCCTGCCTTAAACAAACCAAACTTTGCATTGTCAAACGTATTCATTCTTATATAATTTTTAAATTTTGTCTCATATAGAAGACTTTCCCAATAAGATCGCATTTTCCTTTTTGTGCCCCTGTGGTGGTTTGAAAGAAAATGGCCCCCAAGGAAGTGGCGCTATTAGGAGGTGTGGTATTGTTGAAGCAAGTAGGCCTCCTTGGAGGAAGTGTGTCACTGCGGGGGTGGGACATTGAGGTCCCCTTTGCTCAAGCTTCCCAGAGTGTGATACTCACTTCACTCCTTGTTGGTGCGAGATGTACAACTCCCAGCTACCTCCCCAGCACCATGTCTCTGTATCTGCTTCCATCAGTTGTTGGTTGAAGGTTCTATGATGACAATTAATATAGGGAAGGTCAATTTAGGTGTCCTCTCTACCATTGCTTAGAGTATTAACTGGGGTCATCCTTGTAGGTTATTGGGAATTTCCCTTTTGAAATTAAGAAGCTTCTGTAAGGCAAAGGACACAGTCACTAAGACAAAATGACAGCCTACTGAATGGGAAAAGATCTTTACTAACCCCACATCAGAAAGAGGTCTCATCTCCAAAATATATAAAGAACTCAAGAAGCTAGACATCAAATTACCAAATAATCCAACCAAAAAAAATGGGGGTACAAATAGATCTAAACAGAATTCTCAACAGGAAAATTTAAAATGGCCAAAAGACACTTATGCAATTGCTCAACATCCTTAGCCATCAGGAAAATGAAAGCTAAAATGACTCTGAGATATCATCTTACACTGGTCAGAATGGATAAGATCAAAACCACCAAAGACAGTTTATGCTGGAGAGGATGTGGAGTCAGGGGAGCACTTCTCCATTGCTGGTGAGAATGCAAAGTTGCAGCCACTTTGGAAAAAAAGTATGGCAAATTCCCAGAAACTTGCAAATCAGTCTTCTTTGAAACCTAGCAATACCACTTTTGTGCATATAACCAAAGGCTGTATTGTCACACCACAAGAACATGTGCTCAACTATGTTCATAGCAGCATTATTTGTCATAGACAGAATCTGGAAACAACCTAACTCCCCTCAAATGAAGAATGGATAAAGAAAATGTGGTGCATTTGCAGAATGGAGTTGTTCCCAGTTTTTAAAGTATGAATTCTGTGCTTTGTAGAAGAGAACGGAGTGTTCCAGCAAATTTTCAGTTATTGGAAAGGTTCATGGAGAATAGAATATAGCTAAGGTCTTTAAGCATGGAAAACCCCGCAATCAGCACTGAAGGCAGCAGGCTGAACAGGTTAAAGTCAGCCATATAATCTTCCTCTCACTACTCTGTGGGTGTTGAAATCAATGGGCAAACACGATGACCAGATTCGTGAGCTAAAGGCTCCTGTTCTGGGATCTACAGATACAGAGTCTGTCATCTCAAGCTCTTGCAGGAAATCATGATTATTTATCTCCATTGATAACTAGAATGAGCTTGAGGAAGGTAATTTTGAAGGCATTGGGTTCTGAGGCTTTTCCATTCACTGGACACTTGGAAGCAGAAGGAAGAATTTGCTTAGATAAACACCCTGTGGGAAGTGCCTTATTCTGGTGACATTCAGGAGCAGAACTCTATCTGCCAAGGAAGCTACCACATTAGATTCTAGAAGGAGGTCACTAGGACCAGAAGTCCGACAGACCTCACCATGAGCCCTGTGCACACAAGGCCAGACCATCTACGTCTGACTAGAGAGTAACTTTAATTAATTTAGGAAAAAACAATAATTTATTGAAAGGCTATTGGCTAGCTTATGGAATGCTAAGAAACCCAAGAAAGCTACCCAGGAATAAAGGTCAGCTGGTGTCTAGCACAATGGCCAAGGTCTCCTAAGAGGGACAGCTGACTCAGGGTGACACAGCTCGGTTACTGAGCACAGGACACAGACTCTGTCATCCCTGGACACTGGATACTGTAGAAGGTGCTGCCGAGACTGTGTTCTGCTTATCACTGCCTCTGGAATGAATCCCCACTTCCCCTTTCATGATCCAGATTTCAAGTCCCTGAAAGGTAGCTGACCATCTGAGCTCAGGTAACTTATCTGTACCCAAACATCGTTGAGTGAGAGGAGCCAGGGTTTGCTTTTCTTGGCACCTGTGGAGAGCAGATAGCAGACTTCCACTAGATTTTCAAGTACAGGATTTCAGAAAGAGTTCACTGTCAAAGACAATGACATCCGTGCAGTGATTTGTTTCCCCCATGATCACTGCCTGGTCAAAGAATGGCATTCTATTCCTGTTATATTTTCCAGTGTTGCTCTCATTTAGATTCCTGTCAACAGCGAGTGAGGGTTCTCTTTTTTCTCCATATTCTTGCCAACACTTGTTATAAGTACTTGCTATCATTTGGGATGGGGACAGAGTGAACAGGGCAAGTGTGAGGTTAAGTTTTCACTATGCGCCTGCCTGTATCATATCATTTACTGTGTTTTTCTTTACATAGGATGTGGACACACTACATTTTAGATTGTTTCACAAAGGGGAAGTTGTGAAACTTTGCCTTCGTTGCTATGGTTTTGCAGATGTAACGGTTAATCTTCATTCTCGTCTTGATCCGACTTGTAGTCACCTAGGAGACACACCTCTGGAAATGTCTGCAAAGGTGTGCCCAGAAAGGGCAAGCAAGAAGGGAAGAGCCATCCTGAATGTGGGTGGTATCGTTTCATGGGCTGCAGCCCTGGACTAAATTCAGAGGGAGAAAGGAGAAAGCAAGCCACACGCATCCTTCGGCGTCCCTGCTTCCCGAGGATGGATGCAGTGTGACCAGGTGCCTCAAGCTTGGGTGGAGTCTATTAGAGTTCTTCCTCCTTGCAGAAAAGCGGGACTTCCCCACTATGATGGGTTACACTGCACGCTTAAAATCAGAGCAAGTCTTTTCTCCCTTAGGTTTTTGTTGTTGCTGTCGTCAGCTATTTATTTGGTCACAGCAATAAGAAAAATCATGAAGGCAGCTCCTGAACGTTACTCAGCACCTCCTTAAGATTGGATCTTACTGGAAGAGCTGGCGCAGCCTGCTTTCACACTTTTGGTAGGTGTGTTTTCATGCCCTCTCCCATGGGTTTCAGAAGAGGTCAGCCTTCTCGTCAGTTAGGGTTACTTGGGAAAAGGCAATACTAGCAGGTCTTCAAATAGGATACAGAATAAGAAGCATGGACCATAACAGATGAGGCTAGAGAGACAACCAGATACCAGCAAGTCCCCCTTCATCACAGCAGGCAGGCTTGCATGCAAGAAGTCTCTGCAGGCTTTGGGCTTAGGAGGGAATAGCTCATAATAAGATGCCCAAGGGAAAAGGTACAAGAATCTAAGGACTGTAAGAAACAGGTTAGGGTCACATCGTATTACTACAAAGGGGCACAGGGGAAGAATCTAAGGGGGTGTGGAGTGGGTAAAATCAGGAGCAGCTGGGCTGGGTTGGCTGGGAGATGGGGGGGTTCGGGAGAGAGATGGAGAGAGGGGTCAAAATTAGTTTGATCCGGATTCCTCGTTTGAGTGCAGGAGAGGTGGTGAACCCAAGGCACATTAGGAACCCCGTAGCTCAGGGAGAACTGTCGTGGCTGCAGATGGCATCTGGTATTGTCCTTCTGCCACCGTCTTAAAAGGGATTCTGCAGGGATTTTCTTTCTCTTGTTCCTCCAGCCCTCCACTTGCGTTGCTGGCCTAAATGGATCCGCCCCAGCTGGTCACGTCCATCACCACAGTCAGGTCTGAAGATTCCTGATATGCTGAGAGCCTGTGGCACTGCAGACACAAACGGTCGTTAGTGGATGGCCCTATTGTAACAAACCACGCGTTAAGATGTAAACCCCGGAGAACTGGCCTCAGTCGTCCAGAAGCAACCTTTGCTCTGAGCCTGGATTAGCCATGAGAGAGCTCGTCAACATTCCACTGTTACAGATTCTCTCCCTGGTCGCCTTCAGCGGAACCGAGAAACTTCCAAAAGGTTGGTCTGCATAATCTAGCCCTTATGAGCTTCGTGGTGACTGATTCACGCTGTGGTGTGTTTGGGTGATGGAGGGCTGGAATGTGTGGAGAAAGAGAAGAGCGTGGTTGGTTCTTCTTCGATGCTGGGTGTCTTCTAAGCTCTGCGATTACAAACAGCTTCATGTGTCCAGAGCCCTCCTTTCTAGGGAGAGGTTGCCAGGTCGAGTGTGAATTATGGCGGTCTGTTCTGTTTCTGTGTATGTCAAATGGTGGGGTGGTCTACTCGGGTGATGAAAACCATTCCCTGCTGGGCTTGCCAAGGCTATAATCCACCCCACTTCCAGATACCCAGAATGTTTTGCTCCTAAGCAAAAGCCATTTCTATTTTCGGTTTTAGCTTTTATCAAACTCTTAATGTGCATTTTAGCAGCTAGAAATCAGACCCAGGGAAAGACACACAGAAGGTACAAAAGCCTGGAGACATCCGATTCTCTGTGCTTTTGCTACTGCTGTTGTGATTTGGGCTTGAGAGAGATTGCACTAGCTTTTTTTTTTTTTTTCCCAGGGCTTTGGAATGCACCGGAAATAACACCACCTAAGGGGGAAAGCAACTTAAGAAAGTGACAAACACCTGTTGTAGCTCAGGCCGTCCACGGCACTGTGGTTTCTGGCCAGAGTATTATGAAAGTTAGAGTCAGGAAGCGTGGAAAATACGTGATTTGCAAAGCCGCCGGGTCTGCGCTGAAATCTTTTCAAAGCGAGGCACGAAGAAGCAGACTCAATGTCTTTAGATAGGGCTGTGGTAAGAGTCTCACCGCAGAGTTATGAAGAGTGCTGAGTTGTCGTCAGGTGAATAATTTCCCATTTTGACCAGGTTGCCTAAACACCGAAAAAGTTTATCTTGAATAATTAGTGAAGGTGATGTTTGTATGTACATGGAAAATACATCCTCAGGTTTGTAGTTCATCTACATTTCAGGAGGCAACAGATCAAGGATCCCTTATAAGTAACAGACAGCATTCGCTCCAAACAATCTGATTACATGGATTTATTTTCTTGTTTATTTACTTGTTTCTCTTTCTCCATTTTACTCGGGCAAAGTGGTTGACATCTTCTACCAAATCGTTTACATCACGATGGCACTTTTAGGCACTTTTAGATAAAAAAGAATCCAGACCTTTTAAAAATAGCTAATAATAGCCAGAAGGACTTAACATTGGCTTCGGGTCATCCTAATACTTCCTGGTCAGATCACGGATGTCCGGTAGAACAGCACCTAACTGTTCGGACCTATGGCTCCTAATAGAACTTACTCGTTTTAATCTATACCAAGTAGTTACCCATAAGCGAGGAGGATGCAGTTAAACCCTAGCTTGTATAGAGGGCAGCTGCTTTGAAGTTCTAAATCAAACCTGGGTGCCCCAAACAATCACAACGAAACCCCACAAACACCTCTGTATTTGTATATGAACTTAGATTCTGGAGAAAAATGCCTTGATTTTTAGGCCCCAGTCATCCTAAACCTTCATTCAAACGCACACGATCACCTCTGTTATGCAAACTTCAGAATCATGGCACAGGGTAGCAATACCAGGTATTGCAGCCTTGAAAGAAAACCGTCAGAACATCCATCCGATGTTTTTTTTTTTTTCAGTGTGTTTGTTGAAATTTTTAAAGTTTAAACAATAGTTTTCTTCACCTACTCTGTTTATTAGGAAAAATAGAAACTAGCACTGGGCTCACGTTGGGTGGTTCACACCACCCCTAACTGATTAGACATCCGTTCGATGTACCAGATGACTTCTGAAAGCCAATAACGTCACGGGACATGAAAGCTTTAGGATTTTATTGTTAAAATATGTGGCGTAGTTTGAGAGAGAAGAGTCGTTTGAATGAAGTGCTCTCTTATTTACCAGTGAAAAATGATGAAGCTGTCCTGGCTAAACTTGCTCACGGCACTTCCGGCGGAAGAGAGTAGGGAGCAGTCTGTTGGAGGGTTTGCTTGTCCAGACTGAGATCAAGGGACCTCCACAGTGAGGTATCACAAAAGAAACAGTTCTGTTCAGTGTAGCGGACAGGTTTAGAGCGAACGGACTTAAAACAGGGCTGTTCAAGGTGTGAATAGTCAGAGGACTATTGAGAGGAATCGTGAGTCTCTCTGCACCCTGTTTTCTTCATAAGATTATTTGGCTTTGTAGATTTATAGTTTATTATTTTAGCTTTAAATTAATTGAAATGCTTAACATTCCGATGCCGAAAGGAAGTCATGATTTTCTAGGTCATTTCAACTCGTGACTTTTCTTTTTTTTTTAAAAAAAATGAGTTTCATTTCCTCACCTCAAGTAGGAAACTTCTAGAAATCATCATCTATGAAAACAGCCAAAGTTTAGTTGCATTTGCTCAGCCACAGGTTTTAAGAGCACCCTCTGATTTATCAGGGTGTATTAAGCACAAGGTGGGGCATTCTAAAAATTCCAAAAGAGCACAAGATTCACGTTGGTAGAATTGGAATGATTAAACATTCACAAGGATTTCCTCACAAAACCCCGCCTTCCAAATGACCCATTTACAGCCAAACCTACAGGGTTGAATGTCTAAGTAATTTCTCTTTAGGTAAAGCGGAGAAGCCCTGTCTTTTAAATCACGTGTGTGCGGGGACAGGGTTCGCAGATCGCACTTATGAGTCAGTCAGAGCTGATGCAGCTGTCGTGCACTCCTTCCAGGACAGCAAGTCCTGGGTGAGTGTTTCATACTGACACTCATGGTCACTTACTCATCCTATGTGTGGGAAAAACACTTGCTTTACATCATGGCTCTTATGGGGCCGGGGGGGGGGGGCGGGGAGAAGAGAGGAAATTTCATAATATCTCTAAAGGTGAAGTAGGACTTGAGGCCACGGAGGAGGGATGACGTGGCCCTCCCTGGACTTGTCCATTCGGGAAGATGACTGAAGAACACAGGCCCAGCAGAGCAGGCAGACAGCCTGGTAAGGCTGCAGACAGCAGTTTAAGAGTGATTCTGACCTGGACAGTTGTCTCCCTGTGTCTGCAAATGCTGTGTGAACACAGGAGTAGTAGGGCAGGTATTCTAGTAATTTAGGATCAGCGCTTTTCAGGGCCATTCAGCTGAAGATCTGGCGGGCACAGAACCTGGGGTTATGTGAGAAAGACCAGCTACTAGAGGTCAGAAAACGAAGAGTGTGAAGCAAAGATACGGAAGGCTTGAACAGGTGTCACAATCAATTCCCCCTTTCCTGACCCCAGCATCTTGCTGCAAATCTCTAAAGAAAGCACGTAGTCTCTGACTTGGTTTCCTTGCGGACATCTTGGACTGGTCCATCGTCCAGGGTCACACTAAGGACTACTCATGGTGGCTATGAGGGCAATATGTGGCATGCTTTACTTGGGTCCTTGCAGGAGGCAGCTTAACCCAACGGAACACCTCCAAGGGATGCAAATTCAGATATTCTGGAAGTCTACACAGAACTCCCGTGAAAGTCTATCCCAGATGGGAAGAGTCTTCGAGGAATTAATGACATAGCCTTCAAAATGGCTGAGAGTCATTCTAGGCTAATTTTACATGTTACAAAAATGTTCTTTTCACTGCAATTAGAAATTTCACAGCTATTAGGATATGTCACATAACCATCAATACCTGTTATTCTCTTTGGAGAATCTGAAAAGTTCCCCAAACCAAAGTGTTTTCTTAAACTGAAAGAAAGAATTAATGCTGTATTGATAATAATTAGAAAAACATGATTTTAAGGTCTCAGCACCAATCTTTTTTCTTTCTTTCTTTCTTTCTTTCTTTCTTTCTTTCTTTCTTTCTTTCTTTCTTTCTTTCTTCTTCTTCTTCCTCCTCCTCCTCCTCCTCCTTCTCCTCCTCTTCCTCCTCCTCCTCCTCCTTCTTCTTTTTCTTCCTCCTCCTCCTCTTCTTCCTCTTCCTCTGCTTCTTTCTCCTCTCCTCCTCCTTCTGTTTTTTTTTTTTTTTTTTTTTTGAGACAGGACTCTGTATAGTCCTGGCTGTTTCTAGAACTCACTTTGTAGACCATACTGTCCTTGAACTTAGAGATCTGCTTGCCTCTACCTTCCTTTTGTGCTGGGATTAAAGGCCTGACCTCCCAGTTGCCAATTTTCTTTTTGAAAAAATGCACCTGGCTTCTTTTGCATTTGGGTATGTTCATTAATAACGGTTCAGCCAGAGGTTAGTGTGTCAGTGCCATCTTCCAAAGCCCCTAAAAGACAGAGGAGGGTAGTATCAAGCCCCCCTCATCAACGCTAGAGTTCATTCAAGTCAGGTTTACTGTGGATCCGAAAAGCGCTGCGTTCATCCTCACGTGTTTGCTGTCCGTGTGGTTTTTGGATCGTGAGAAAAGACAGAGGTTCCGTTTACACAGGCTCTGGCTGGGATGAAAGCTGGGCGAGGAGGAGAGCAAACAGGAAGCGGCCCGCTGAGTCAACCATGCCCTTTGGTACAGCTATGTGATGGTGTCAGTGAACACTTCAAAGGGAATTTGGAAAGCTTTGGAAGGTGGGCAAAATAGATCTGAAAAAATACACTCTGCTCATAGAAATTAATATTGATGTAAAGTTCCCACTTTCTCTGCATATAAGACACAGTTCATCCTAGAGTTCAGAGATAGGCGTGCGCTCTCTCCCTCTCACACAGTGTATGTGTGTATGTAGTGTGTGTGTGTGTGTGCCTTCATGTGTCTGTGCAGGTATGCACAAGCCAAGGCATGTATGTGGAGATTTCTCACTTGCCACTCTATAAGGCAGGTTAGCTGGCCTGCCGACTGCCAGAGATCCCTGTCTCCCACCTCCCATCTTCTCATAAGAGCACTGGGATTGCAGACATGCCTGGTCCGGTGCTCAACTGTGTGTGTGTGTGTGTGCTCTGGAGATCCGAACTCAAGTCCTCATGATTCCACACCAGGGACTTTACTCACCGAGCCATCTCTCCAGTCCCAAGACACGAGGCCTCTAAGCCAACCTTAACCCTGAAGCTCATCTCTATCACTTCCTATTTTTGGGGATGGTTACAAAAATGATTTAACTATCCTTAGTCCTTGTCTAGTTTGCAAATACTTAATTGCATTTAACTCATTTTTTTTGATAAAATAATAAAGATGAAGTCTGAGATGGAACACGTAGAACAATTTTAGGTACTGATATTACTAAAACCAGACTCAGACCGTGCTCCAAGACTGTCTGATCACTGGGCACTATGGGAAGATGCGAACATGATTCTGCTCCAAGTGACACTTTGTGCATTTCTCTGTATCTCAGAGTTTCCAGATTTTGCCGGTTGTATCTCACTTCTTTGATCTCAACTGGCCTCAGCTGAGTGTGCATCACTGTCATCCCTGCATTTCTGTGTCTGTGTGGCGTGAAAGAAACTGACAGATAAAGTTTATTTTTAAAATAAAAAATAACACACCGTCATTAAGATTTACTTTGAAAAGGGCAAAGTGGACAAACAAGACAGAAAAGGCTACATCTGCTTCCAAGACTGTTGACGCCACGTGTTTTCTTCCGTGTTGCTCAGCTGCCTGACCTGTTTCCCTCTCATGAAACCCTGAGCACCTTTTATTAGAGCTGCCTTTCAAGGCGCCAGTTTGCAATAATCTCGTCCTGTCTGTTTATTAATCAGTATTCTGAAACATATTTAGCATCCAGTTTTCTGAGAACAAAATAAAGCAAAACAAAACGACTCCACTGATTTGTCCTGCTTCTGCAGTGAAAAGATCCTAAAACCACATCCAGTCTCAAAGAACCAACAAATCCTGGAGGCAGTCAAGAATCTGCATGCATAGTACCATTGTAGGCCATTTTCACCCTCAAAGTAACCCAAGAACATAGATACAGTGTAGCTAAAAAGCAATGGATGGATTTCGAGCTGTATCTTTCTCAGCTTCTTTTCACCTTATTTTTTGAGATGTGCTAAATGTTTAGCTCACTGATTAGCTAGACCAGCTCTCCAATAGGCCTCAGGGACCCTTGTCCCTGCCTCCGTAAGGCTGGGATCACAGGCTTGTGCTCCTGTATCCAGTTGCTTCAAATAGGTCCTAGGGGACTAAACTCAAGCCTTCTTTGCAGCCTAGAAGTGATTGATTTTAAGCATTAAGTATTAATAGACCTTAACCATAAATTTATGCAATTTAGTGGATCAATAATGGCTACTTAGCAACTATTAGCAATATTCCTGGTAAAATAAAAAAAAAAAAACCAATTCATTTCTGCCAGGGCAAAGCAGCTCCAGGAGACCACAGCAAGAAGGCAAAAACCGCCTGTGCCCTCACCTCACTTTATTCCATTTGTTTAGCTGAGCGCAATTCATCTGCTTCATGATCCGAGTCATCTAATTTCCTATGTATGACCACTCACTTGCGATGGATTCTAGAGTGTCAATAATGACTTAATTTTTTTGTGGGGCTGGAGAGATGGCTCAGCAGTAAAAGAGCACTTGCCGCTCTTCTAGAGCACCTGAGCTCTGTCTCCAGGACCTTGTTGGGAGGCTCAGCATCACCTGTAATCCAGCTCCAAAGGACTCGACACCTTCCTTCCCACCCACTCCCATTTTTGCTCTGTAGGTTTGTGAATTGCACATGCTTTAGGAATAGGATCTTATACCATGATCCTCTGTGACTATTTTCATACACTTTGATTTTTGTTTCCGTGTTACTCCATGTCATAGAATATAACACTTCCTTATTTCCATTTCCAAATAATATTCTGTCATATATTTATGTTAATTTTGTTTAACCATCCATTGGTGGGAACTTAGGCTTCTTCCATCTTTTGCTATTATGAGTTTGTGCTGCTGTGAGTAGAGATGTGGAAATATTTGAGTATCTGAGTCTTTCTGTTTTCTTGACTTTGTCCCTGGAAGAGGCATTGTTGATCATGAGTCTCTTTTGGGTTCTTTCTGTGGAACCTCCATATTCTTTTCCCCAGTGACAACCATTTTAATTCCTACCCACAATACACAGGGTTCTAATCCATCATCATTCCCTCTAACATTTGCTATTTTTCTTTATCTTTATAGTCCCCCCAACGAGTATAGTTTTAATTTACATTTTCATTTTTTTTAAATGTTTGCTTGTTGTATATTTGTGTGTGGCTCGGTGAATGTTTTCACATCTGCACAAAGATGTGGTGGGGTCAGAGGCTGACATGAGGGGTCCCCCTTGGTTGTTCTCTGCTCTATTTACTGACAGCAGGATCTCATGCTGGCTCAGCTAGTCTACCCAGCCAAGAATCTCCTGTCTCCTCTGGTGCATTGACTTCACAGACATGACGCCCCATGTCTAGTGGGCATTTGAACAGTAATGTTCATTCAGGTATGCCATGGCTTCTGGCTGCTAAAGGGCGAGTAATGAGTAACATTCTAGAAAGTTCTCCCTTGTTTCTGCCCTGTGTAGCTCCTGTCATCACCACGCCTCTTGAAACCGTAGATGCCTTAGTTGAAGAAGTAGCGACTTTCATGTGTGCCGTGGAATCCTACCCTCAGCCCGAGATTTCTTGGACCAGAAACAAAATCCTCATTAAGTAAGTACTCTGTCCCATCCTGCTAAGGATGCCGTCTACCTTAGAGTTCCTCACCCATGGAAATACAGCCATATTGTTGGGGACACTACAGGTCGCCTTATAGAATATACAAAGTGAAAATATACTCATTTTGTAATTGGAAGATCTGAGGTTCAGGGCAGGGCACTGATTTATCTCGCATGGGGAGTTGCCAGGTGAGAATCCTGAAGCTTAGCAGGAGCTGGGCAGCACCGCGGTATTCTAAGTCTGCGGGCATGTGTCCCAGGACACACAGAGGAGCTGAGGGGCCAGCCTGTCACCCCCTCTGTGTCCCCAAACTATGATGTCTGTTTTCTAAGAGTCTGACTTCTGTGTCACTATCATCTTTTTCTTTCGAAATGAGACAGATTCTCAAACAGTTAGCAGTCCCATTTGGCAGATAAAGGGTCTGCTTTGTCCCGCAGCACATTGGCTATCTGACCAAAAATACTCTAGAATAGTCGAGAACAAAGTATGCTGGAGGGTGCTCTAACAGGCAGCGTTGAAGCCGAATGTTCTTAGTCCATATGAGCTACTGTGAGTGAATTGTTAAATCTTGTAGCTTATAACCGAGAGAAAATTATTTCTCACAGCCTTGGAGGCTGAGGAGTTCCAAGTTCAAAGAGCCAGCAGATTCAGCATATGGTCAGGGAATGAGGATTTTACTTTATTCACAGATGGCCATCCATTTGATCCATTAAACAAAGACAAGTGTGTGTGTGTGTGTGTGTGTGCGTACGCGCACATGTATGTGTGTGCATGTGAGTGCATGTGTGTGTGTGTAATATCACACGTAGCTCACTGATCCTCCTCTCTGCTCCATGACCGGCAGACTGTTTGACACCCGCTACAGCATCCGGGAGAATGGTCAGCTTCTCACCATCCTGAGTGTGGAAGACAGTGATGATGGCATCTATTGCTGCAGCGCCAACAACGGAGTGGGAGGAGCTGTGGAGAGCTGTGGCGCCCTGCAAGTGAAGATGAGTGAGTACGGAAGGGTGTCATCTAGGACCCGAAAGTTGTCTCCGCACAGTTCGTAGCAGTCATCAAACAGAGCTCTCTGCGTGCTGAAGTTCAACCACAGCACAAGCTCAAGTACAAAATATAGGTTCTGGGGCCAACCCTTATTCCTGCCACAACCACATCTTCAAGCAATCCTTTAGTTCGCTCTCCTCTCCCGCCTTGGTTTTGGCCTTCACACTGCTCCTGATTATATTCGGGAACTTCCTTCTGAAATCATTATGCATTTTTTAAAAATTCACACACACACACACACACACATCAGAAATCTGTCCCACAAAGGCGTCTCTTGGCTCTGTATCTACAGTATCAGATCAGTAGGGATACGAGGTAGAGTAACTGCTTTTTGAGTGCTCTGAGGCATTTGAACGCCTCTGTGCTACACGTTAGAGTTAATGGCTTCTTCTCAAAGCTTCACAGAAGAGACTAAGATGAACCAATATCACCCATTTCTTCAGAAAAGTTGCTCCGAGTGCTGGCTGAAGAGACAACTTCTCTTTGTAGAATCTTGATTCTCCAAACTGTGTCAGAGTCAAAGGTGGGAACTGGACCTAGAAGCAAATGTAGACTCATATCTCGGGAGGCAGAAGTCTCAAAATTGAGGCCAGCCTCTTGGATACAGTGAGTTCTAGGTCATCCAGAGCCATGTAATGAGACCTTAACTCAGAAAAGAATAGTAATAAAGAGATGGAAACTAAACAGAAAGGAGATCATAATTCAAAATGATATGATTATAAAGTGTTTGACATCTAATGGCATAAATTGCTTAATGTTGAATCATTATGGGAACAGTTTATGCTGATAGACATTTTATTAAGTGTCATTTAAAATAAAGAGTACTAAGAAATTTCAGATCTCTAGTATGCTTCATAAAAACGAGTTTTGAAAAAAAAAAAAAGGGAATAGAGGTTTTACCAAAGCAGATCTAACCATTCTTTAAGATGGATTTCCATTTGATGTCTACTAATGACCCGTCTTAGCCTTTGTCAAACTTCGTAATTTAAATTCCCTAAGATGATCCTTGAAATGAACGCCGATAATGAACTAGAAAGCTAAAAACCCCGGTTCAATTCAGATACATTGTCTTTTTCTGTTTGACTTTCATTTCCCCACAGAACCTAAGATAACTCGCCCGCCCATTAACGTCAAAATAATCGAGGGGTTGAAAGCAGTTCTACCATGTACGACAATGGGCAACCCCAAGCCGTCCGTCTCCTGGATCAAGGGGGACAGCGCTCTCAGGGTAAGTGATTATTATATTAAGGCTCCCTTTGAAAAGATTTATATTTAACTTTTATTCATGTGTGTGTGTGTGTGTGTGTGTGTGTATGTACATGGATATGGGCATCCATGGAGGCCAGAAGAAAGTATCACATCCTTTTGAACTGGAATTGCAGATGGCACAAGCCACCCAATATGGTGGCTCCAGTCCTCTGCAAGAGGAGCATGCACGCTTCATGGCTGGGCTCTTTTTCTAGCCAGTGGAAGTCATGTTTTCAGCATAATTATCTCGGAGCATCTCATCTACACATGTTAACAAGTTTCTAGTATATGTTTTTCTCTATCTGCATCACCCAAACTTCCATTCTTGTCTTCCTAATTGCACACGCTCACTTCAGGACATTCCAGCAGGGACTGTCTTGGAGACAGAGAGATAGAAATCAGCAATATTAGAGAGGAAAAGGGGGCAGGAACCAAGCAAGGCAAGGCTTGTTGTTCTTGCTTGACTGAATCTTTATTATTATTATTATTATTAAACATAGAATGTTTGAGACTTTCGGTATAACAAAGCTGAACTAACACCCACGTTTTAAAATGGACAGTTTCTGGGATGAGAGAGATGGGGACTGGAAGGAGGAAAATGAGAAAACAAGGGTGAGAAATTAGAGCTAGGAGACTCAGAATGATAAACAGAAGCAAACATGTCTCAGTAACAAACAGGGGTTAGATTAAAGCTACATCATCTGGGTTGGAGAGAAGGTATCATGGGTCAGAACCTGACCTCGTATGTATGAGAACCTGAGCTCATATGCAGCTGCATAAAGGTGTGCCTGTAAGCCCAGCACTTTGGGAGGAGGAGACAGGCAGGTTGTGGGCCTTGCTGGCCGCCAGTCTAACTCCAAGCCCAGTGAAGATCTTGGCTCAAAGGAGCAAAGTAGAGAGCAGTAGATCAGAATATCCAAAGTCCACTTCCTGCCACATACACGCACATGGACGCACACATTTGTTCAGGCGTGTTCATATACACCATATTCATATACACTCACACACATGTGCGCACGTGCACACACACACTTATAAAAGATGCACTGTTAATTGGCTTAGCTTGTGTATTGTACCCATTCTTACTAATAAATTGTTATCCTGTACTACGATCACCTCCACGGCTTTGCCTCACCTGGAAATGAGGCTACAGACTCTGTTCCCATGTTACCAGGCCCTACACGCTCCATGGGAAATCATCCATAGCTGTCAGAATATGTCAAGTAACTGAAACAAACTGTCAATCTGACGAGCTTTGCCAACTTTAAAGGCAGTATTTACATGCCTGGTTTGCCTGTTGTTTTAAGTCCCGATGCATTTTCTCAAGAAAAAGCAAAGCTGTCTGACCCTGTGAGCCTTACTTAAGTTACAGTGAATGCAAAAAGAGAAGATACTTGTCAATCCAAACTCCAAAGAGTCATTCTAAATTTCTCAAAGGCCATGCGTTCTCCTAAGGCCACCCTAAGGGTGTATGGTGAAGTACGGTAACTGAAAACAATATATTAAATTCTTGCCTGGCTTTGTGTTTTATTCTGGGGGTGATCTCAGGACTGTGTGTATGCTAAGCACACTTTCTACCACTAAGCTACACCTCTAGCCCCAAAGAACAATGCTTTCAATGAAACAGACACAGCATGACTTATGTAAGTCACGATCAGTGTTGTGTTTTAATGAGATGAGGGTAAGAGAAAAAAAAATGGATGCAATCTCATGAGATTACTGACGTGGTTAGTTTAGATGATCTCGCATGGTCTCAGTAGTACGTTAATATGCATACGTAGGGTAGAGGCTGATATTTTGGGTGTTAAGGACAGTGATAACCCAACGAACTAAGGCAAACGTGTCTTTGCCTAAAGCTGTTTTCAAACTCATGTCCCTGTCTTTGGCAGGAAAATTCCCGCATTGCAGTTCTCGAATCGGGGAGTTTAAGGATCCATAATGTGCAAAAGGAAGACGCAGGACAGTACCGATGTGTGGCAAAAAACAGCCTGGGCACAGCTTACTCCAAACTGGTGAAGCTAGAAGTTGAGGGTAAGAGGCAGCATTCCTCACCACGGGCAGCTGGGGAGGCCGTGCTTTAGGCTGAGAAAGCTGGGATGCAGGAAGCTGTGGTTCCTAACTCTGAGGGCAAGGCTATGAAAACAGAGAAGTCAGAAAATAAATCCCTGCATAAAAGATCAGATTCTATCCATTGCCACCACTGCTGATGAGTTTGACCATTGCAGCGAACAGAATTCATAATACTGATAAAACAATATGGCACCATCGTAGTGTGTCTTTTTGGCTTGGGCAAACCTCTTATTTATAAATTTTAAGACAGTAATTTTATGTTTTAATGCACTTGGATTGATTTCTAGAGAATAGGAAGATGGAAAAAGTATTTTTCAAATAATTGCTTTACCAAAAAAACGAGGAAAATAAGAGAATGAGTCAAACACATAAAACATGATCCTAATTCTGTGAATCATGTAGCGATTAGTGCTTTGAACATAGTAATTGTTTGTGAATGCGTTTCTTTTCACTAGTCAATTCAACAAATTGGTGGGAAAAAAATCTTTACTGAGAAATCAGAATCCAAACAGATTTTAGTGATCTATTTCCTTTTCATCTGGCTTTTTACCTAAAATTTTATCACATTTGGTTTAAAAATAACAACTAGGATCCAGATGTGAGGGGAGGTGGGGAGAAACTGTAATCAAGAAGTATTATATGGGGGGAAAAACCTATCTCAACAAATGGGGCGGGGAGGGGACCGCAGGCCTGGACTATGTGAGCGCCTTAGGGGTGGAGTCCTTTCTAACGCTTCCTGTTCTGAGCCACGGAGTCAAGAGCTCTGACTTCTTTCCTTGGTAAAATCAGGTTTAAGGAACTAATAAGCAACTGATTATATCCAGCAGTCTGGCCTTGAATGTGCTTCACACACGATGGCTATAGATTTCTCTGCTTTTATTTTCCTTCTCTGTCTGATGAAATGTTGAACTAGACACACAAGCAGAAACAGTGATTAAATCAACAAAGACTTTTATGGATCCCAGATTTTTGAGCCACCTCATTCTGCTTCGGTCAAAATCTATCTTTTCCCGCAATTTCCTTTCTGACTCCGGTTTTTATTGGAGTTATTTTTATTTCCTGAGTTGCCCCATGTCCTCTCTCTCACAGCTTTAATGACCTCCTTTTCCATATCTGTCTCCAGCTGAGGCAGCATTTTTATGGTGTCATTACACCAACTGCTCATAAAATTTCCATTAGGAAATGGCAACATATATATATAATAAATATAGACATAATATATACATATATAATGTATAATATATCTTAGGTAGAAGGATGTTTTACATATATATATCTTAGCATAGTTCTCAATAAGTTAGCATAAATGAATTCCTTCTAAATTATTCAATTCTATTTAATGATTAGAGAACAATTGATATTTTTCCAGTGAAACCTAATTAACATACAACTGTGTTCAGAAGCCTACTCAGACACCCCAAATTCCTGCCTAGACCCAGGGTTGCTCTGAACGCTCTCTAGAATGGTGTAGTATGAACACTGTCCACAGCAATAGTCCCCTGTCAACCTATCAAACTCGAGCTTCCCATCTTCCCAGCTGCGGAAACAATTGTGTCAAATTGGCTCAGAGGAAGTTATCATCAATACTGATTCACTGGAGCTGTATTACACAGCTCTTTCCTGGCTCTTAGTTGTGAGTCAGTGGGATGGGATGCCACTTTCATCTTCCTAACGCTGGGAAGATCATGCTTGTTTGTCTTGATTCTTAACATATGCTTGAGGTTTCATAAAGATTCGTCATGGCTGAGAGCTCATGCTAACACTTGAAGCTTCTCTAACAGTCGGTAAGAAAATCATTTCAGCTCCTATGTCTGATCGGGTTCCTCTCCTTCTGACCAAGATACCCCCAAAATGTGGCCTGCTTTTCCTAGCACATAATAAGCCCAGCATAAATGATATCTCTCATATTTTTGTTGTCATTAAGACACAAAAAGCACAGCAAATATGTTTTGGCTTGGAAGATCCTAAAAGTTGAAGTTGATTTCCTTTCGCACAAAGAGCTGGGCATGCGCACAAGTTACAGTTCAGACAGAACCTGCTCAAGGAAGAGTCAGTTCAACCTGCAACTCACAATGCATGGAAAAGTGATAGGACAATGATTGGGAGATGCCTCAAAATACCTGCAAATGCCTGCTGGTCCTGAAGAGGTGAGGGCCAAAGACAAGGCTGGGCCATGTTTGGTTGGAGCTAAAAAATGTACGTATCCACCACTTAGTAACTTCATATTAGTTATGGCATTGCTCTTTTGAAGCAGAACGCCATACTGCTATTTGAGGCTGTTTTATGTTAACTATGGATGGACATATAACTAGTAGCCTCTAGCAAGAAAAACGATGCCAGGCATGTCACTACACTGGGTTCAGTGCACTGAGTACATCTTAGCTGCCATCGAAAATATGAAAGAAATACCCTTCCTATTGGGATGTAAAACTCTTTTTCTAAATTACCATCTTTGGGCTTGCGGGTCTAAAGTGACAGAACAAAGAGAGTCTACTTCTATTAGTTACCCTACCGTTGCTAGGACGAAACACCATGACCAAAGCAGTTCATAAAAGAAAGCATTTAATGTGGCTACAGTTTGAGCAGGTTCGAGTCCGTGATGGTGAAGCAGAGGCACGGCAGCAGGAAGAGCAGAGAGTGCCCATGCGGATTCACAAGCAGAAGGCAGAGGAGGCACACTGGGAACCAAATCTCAAAACCTAACCCTCAGTGACATGTCTCCTCCAACAAGGCCGTTCCTCTGAATTCTTCCCAAACAGTTCTAACGATTACGGACCACATATCCAAATGTACGAGCCTATGGGGACAGTCTCACTGAAGCCACCATATTGACCTTCTGTCAAAAGATACCACATGTGACATGCAGAATTCCTGATGAAACTCAAGCCGGTCCAGGATATATGTCTTTCAAAAGGGCTAGGATGTCTAGAATGCTAAAATGTACTATTGCTCTCAATGTTTCTCGTGGGGGTCCTCGTGTGCCTGTCACTCAGAGCACTTGTCAAAACAGGATGGTCCTATCCTGTGCCGTTCTAGGATCTCAAGGAACAGTGAGGGTGGCTCGTTCACAGCAGATGGCAGGATCTAAGAAACCGAGGCACACCGAATGCTCTCTCCTCTATTAAGAGACAAGACGGTTCTCTATGATATTGTCTAGAGCAGCATCAGGATGGAAGTGAAGGAAGAATCTAGAATCCTGTAAATGCAGAAAGAGAAAAAAAATGGAGAGGGGGCACAAGCTTTTCAATGAGCCTGGCATAAAGAGGTGAGGAGTCAAAACAGGGAGCGGCGAGAAAGAGTGACCGTGTTAAAATAGAATAAGAAGGGAAACTTGACCACACAGAGGAGGGGACACTGTCAAAGGAACGTGGTACTGTGGCACACACAGGGACTGCATCCAGGGTGCAGGTGGAACTACAAACTTTATACGACCACATGTCCTGTTTCTCCTGGGACAGCTCTGGGTCACACCTGTTGTCCTGGAATCATTATTAATAGAATCCCGCTTTTCCTTTCTGAAGTGTCTGGGCTTCCATGATATTTTATACAGCTGCTCTCCTTGGGGAAGAACACTTTCTTCCTTGGAGGAAGAAGGGAAATGGGGTCATTTTCCCACATGAATCTGTTAATAAGCCAGGCATATTGAATTTAAGAAGGCTCTTCTCCTGGTCTCCACTTCCTTTAGGGAGTAGGTTGTAGGTTACCCTCCGTAAGGCGGGCATGGGGTGGGGGCAGGGGCAAGGAGAGTGGAAAGATTTTTAAAATAGCTGCGGATGGGAACGATGACTCAGAAGGAAACAGGGGGTTGTGGAGCGACTTTAAGGTTTTAGCCGAGGACAGGATCATGAACACGGAACGAGGGGCGTCTTCTGCATGGCGGAGGGGCGTCTTCTGCGTGGCCAAATCAAACCTCACCCCAACGACGAGAAGTTTGATCTACTCCACAGATACACATTCAGGAAAAGTATGTTTACATTATGTTTGAAGGCAAGGCATGAGTATTGGAGTCTTGGCGGAAAGGAGAATAGGGCAAAATAAAATATTCCCTGAGAGAGTGAAGCCCTGAGTCCCAGAATCTTTATGCATGAAATTCATGTAGCTTAATATCCAAACACCGAATCGATGAGGGTGGAAACCCTGGCTTAAGTTTTATAGCTCCAGCAATAGGACAGATACAATAACATGAAAGTCTTCCTACTACAAAGGTTAGACATTCAGGATTTGCTACACGACTCACAAGGATAAAATGTAAATATCCAGACACAATAAATTATTAGAAATCGAGCAACTTGGTTTGTAAGCTCCAGAGCAGCTTCCCCATTGTCCTGAAGCAATGGGTGAGGTACCCATCTCCATTTCCCAGCCTTAAGATCCACAGAAATGAGGAGACCAGGTTTCAGGTCCCGTGAAAAGTAGAAGCACACACTAAGAGCCTTGCTTAAGACTGAGAAGCATAGTGATGCTAAGAGGGGCCAGGAAAATTCATGGGTTTGCACAAGCACACAAATTTGCATGTCTTTATCTGAATTATAACTATAAGGGAGTAAAAAAAAGTCTTCTTAGAAACAAATATTAAACACTCAGAATACAGAGGTATGATATTAAATTGTTACAGCAATGCAGTCTGGGGATCTCTGGAGAAAGAAATTAACATAAAGAGTAAGTGTGAAAAGTTTAACAAGAAAAAATATGGAAAATGGAAATGTTGAAAATAGAAATATTGAAAATGAAAGTGCCTTACACTGGGGACCCAATATTTTGATGGATGAAAACACAGTAATGGCGTATTCACAGCATGAATTGTAGCTGTGTGGGAAGAGACTCACCTGAGTGTGAGTCGGCACAATAAAAAGGGAATCAGTCAGCAGAACAACAGTAGGGGACATAAATAAATATGCTCAAAGCAGTCAAAGACACAAAAGGAGGAATAGAAAAAAAATGTATGTTTCCAAAATTCCAAC